TATATATATATATATATGAACTGTAATAATTGGAAAAGCAATATCATATAATTACGTGAGTAATAAATGCTTAAAAAAGCTGCATTTTTTTTTAAATGAAAACTTCAAAATAAAAAAAAGAAAACAAATGAATCTCAAATCAAGATTAATTTGAGTTGGAATAAGAAAAAAAACATTTTATAGCAAGAAATTAACCCGAGATTTTAATAATAAAACTAGATTAAGAAGAAAAGCAGCTCTGAAATTAATTAAAATGCAACGAAAATTCAAAGACAAATATTGTAAAATAGATCAAGGACGCGATGAAAATATAACATTCTAATCTACAAACAAAAGACAAAGAACTTTGCACTTTTAATTAATGAATACTCTATTGTCTTTCTCTAATGAATTCTCATACGAAAGGTTCTTTAACAATGAACTGTTCTCGGAACATGACGACAGAGACAACACTTTACTTGTATAATAGAATAAGGGAAAAATTATCATGGAATTTTTTTTTCCCTCTAAAAAGACATCAGTTAATTAATTTTGAAAAAAAGAAAGGGATCAAGCTTGTTTCGAGAAGGTTTTAAAATTACCTCTGCGAGTATATTAATAAATCAAATTAGGCTTAGAAACTTAATTCGAGGTTGTGTGGAATAATGTATAGGGAGTGCAATGGAATAAATAAAAATAAAAAACTCTCGCTAAATAGTTCGATAATTATTAACTGTTTTAAACTTTTAAGAAAATGGAAAGCGGTCGTTCTTCAAACCGAAACGCAAATGAAGAATTGAAATTTGGCGTAGTGGAATGGCCATGTTTGTTGATGAACTTCAGACGATTTTTTCTTCTTCAAAATTGCAATTTGTTCGAAAGTCACAGCAATTTTTAGTACTGTTTTGCAGTGGGCATGACGTCCTAGAGACAAAAACAAACGTAATAGTAAAATAAAATAAAAACTTAAAACGAAATTCTATAAATAAAAAAAAAATTAAAATAAAATTCGAATAGACTGAAAATAAAGAAGAAAATAATGCTATTTTGCCACACCTAAACCGCTAGTATAATATATAGCAAAATATATAACATATTTCCTACTAAAAGTAATGCATAAATTAATTATAATGTTAGATAATTATTGATAATTCTTAATTTAAGAATTTGTCCGAGCAAAATTTTGCCCGGCGAAGTTTCGGCCCCGAAGATTTGACCCATTACCGAGTTAAATATTATAGTTTGTCTAAAGTAAGAACTTCCCTAGCCATTCGTCTGGACCCGTGGCGGTGACTATGGTAACGAGGTATAACTATTTTAAGTAGGGGTGTGGGGTTACTGTTTAGGGCGGTTTTGGATCGGCTCTGCGAAAGAAAGGGAATCTCTTTTTTCCGTTTACTGTGTTACCTCAAGAGTGAAGAAAAGCTACCCTCTCTGAAATGAGCTATTCTTGTTTCCATAGCAGCAGACGGTCTAAGACTTTGTGGCGGGGGGGGGAGTTCTTACTTTAGACAAACTATACATGACGTTTGCAAGCACTTTTATATTTTTCTCATAGACACCCATTCGTAAATAAGGGACTCTGATGCGAATTTTTTGACGATGCAATATAAGAAGTCAGTAAGAAGGCACAGTGTGTCTCCAATTTTTGCCAAACCAAGTTTTTCTTTCTATTAGGTTACTAAAACTTATTATACGTATTACGGAAATAAAAAGATGTAAATGCTCTCCCCTTTGTCTTGTAGACTTTTCAAACTGCAGGAACTTAATTTGTTATTGAATATTCCTAAGTTAGAAGGCAGTAAGAATTTTTTTACAATATTTGTAAGGATATAGTCATTTTTAGAACACTATAATATTGATCAGAAAAATTCAAAGAAACTTTAAACGATCGCCTTCTCCCATTCTGAATGAAAATAAACTCTAAAATATCGCCTTCCCCCGTTTCGATTAAAAAGTTACTCTAAAATATTGCCTTTTCCCATTCCGATTGAAACGTACCTCTAAAATATCGAATTGGAGACCGAATCAAATCTTGATAATCAGTAGTTATCAAGGTTTCGAGTTGTTGGTTCAAATAAGCCTATTCGAATTTAGTTTCAAGTTGGCAACTCGAATCATGAAATCAATTCAGAGATTTGATTCGAATCAACACTAAACACTCTTTCGAGTGCATTTATTTTAACATATGACAGTGTTTTTACTAAACATCGTATTTCAATTTTTTTAAACAATTTATTCAATTAATAAGTTTTTAAATTAGTCCACAATTTTTTTTTATAGTGAATGAACATTCAATTTTTGTTTAATGTAGTATAAATAACATTGAATGAAAAAACATACATGACATATACAGAAATTTACTTGTTTGTAGAAACATATATAAGGATTTGGCTAGGTTGGGATATTTCTGCAAGGGTATAAAAACCCGGACACTAAATCTTGTAAGGGTGACACAGGGGATTTAGTACACAGTATTTGGTGTGACAGATGACTCCTTAAGTCAGTAGGAGGGGGGAAAGAAGATAGATAAACATAGAGAGTACCCCGAAAAAGATTTCCTAGGAAGTACTCAACTGCCTGATTCCCTTTTGCCCTCGACCCAATCAATCAGTGAATATATAAAAATGACACCCCCTCTTCTAAGAACAGCCTTTCTCTCCGCGAGTACTTCATGTGAAATAAAAAAAAAGAAGAAAAAAAGACTCAAGCTATATTTTAAAAAAGCAATTCAAATCTTTCAACAAAAAATAAGTATACCTTTTAAGCAGTCAAAAAATATTTTAAAGCACTATATACTTTAACAAAATTTAAAATAATTTTCATGATCATGATAAAATAACTAGTTTCCGGCACAGAACTCTTTTCTTAATCGAAAAATCTCTATCATTTTATAATGGCCAGTGTTAGCCATTATAAAATGATAGAGATTTTTCGATTCGATATCAGAGGGTGAAAAAGGAAGACTGAAATAGAGAACATCTTGCAAAATGAAGCAGTTGCACATGAGAGTGTAATAATTTTACCGAGCCCAGCTCAGTAGACGCACATGCGACTCGCAAGCATTTCATCAAACACGTAAAATGATTGACGCTTTCATACTTTATGGACCAACGGAACACTGAAATAAATTGTGGTTGAATGAATTGTGAAAACGTAGAACAACGTGAAAAGCACGCTTTTGCGACATGGTAAAGCAAAAAAAAATCTCGTTTTGGAAAAGGTAAAATTAAGCCCTTTTTAAAAACACTCAATGAAAAAAGAACAGAGGGCTTTTAAAAATAAAAATTGAAAATAAGCACCTTTAAGTACTTTTTAAAAACGCTACGCACTATGGTGTAATTTGATATTATGTCGAAAATTCAATTTGTCTCAAAGTTCATAAATTAGTTAAATCTATTTAAACGAAAAGTTTTGAAAAAAGCAGTCGTTTAAACCCTAAATAAAGATAATTTAAGTTTTTATTTTTTGATTATTCCATTTTAAAAATTAATTGAAAATCCCCATTAAGATTTATAAATAACCTACTAAGATTAAGGTTTATAAATACTACCTTTTTAGTATAACTATCTTTCAAAAAAATTTTTTATGAGTTTTCAGCTATGCTAGAATTTAAAATTGTTACATAGTTACCAACGTTTTCGAACTAATACACATGTTTTGAATAATTGATTAGTCATAGTAGGTACAGGGCAAAATTAAAAAATTTACTATAGGCCAGTAGCCAGTTGTAGCATATTTACCAGTGGTTACTTTATCAAAAATTAATTTTAAATGATAAAAAAAACTCTAGGTGATAATAACAGAAGAGATTTTTTTAAAATCATTTCTCCCAACTTGGTAAGTATTTCTTTTAAGAAATATTTTAAGAAACAAGTCTGAAATAAAATTATTTCTTGAATATTTTAACACATTTATAATCCTTATTTATTTTAATGAAGATAACAATAATAAGTACATGGGGTGCATTTTCGACCAAAAAACTGGTGACTGATTGACAATTTTTCAGTCTCCATATTTATTCATCCTGTGGTCTGTGGCGATAGTTAATTCTGCCCTATAATAGTAGATAAATTTTTGTTATAGTAGATATTAGATTAAAGTTTAGAATTTTTTTTTCTTTTTTGAAGATATATATGTTACCTGCAAAGTTTGAAATCCGGCATTCCATAGAATGCCTAGGCATTGTATATAATACCGGATGTTTTTAGGCAAGGTATGAAATATGATACATATTTTCCCTAGGCATTGTACAGAATGACTACTATTATTTAGGCAAAGTATGAAGAAGAAAAATATCCTGGTGAGGTTATTATGTAAGTAAATGATGCGCATTTCTCAAAAATAAAAATGTTATTCTGAAAAAATAANGCTTTTTCCCCCCCCCCCCCAAAAAAAAAATTAATAATAATAGTAATAATGAGAGCGTCATTAAAAAAATTTTTTTTCAAAATGTGCAAAAAAAAAATTTAAAAAAAAAAAATGAAAGTTGTACAAAACATAATTTATGCCTTTCTTAGTAAGGGAAACAAAATTTTCATTTATAAAAAAATAAATAAATTAACCCACTTGTTGCCACATAGCAGGCTTGAATAACATTTTGAATTGCATTTCATTACATTACGAAACGAATCGGAGATGTATTT